AGTCGCCTATTTTAGCTTCGATGTATGGCTAAGAAATACGGGCAAATATAGATATCTAGAATGACAGAGTTCATCTACTCGACACAATTTAGACACACTGACAGACAACAACTCAAGACTGACTTGTATAAAGGCGAATTTTTTTGTATGGGTATGGCATAACTCGTTCTATAAACCAAGATTCAGAGAGCTTATAAAACGCGTGTAAATCAGGGTTTTTGGAAGGTCTTTGCTGTTTTAATTATGTTTCTTGATTTGACTTGAATTTCAACTGGGTAGCAATTGAAATGCTGGAGCACCGATCAATAGGGATTAATTATGAAAATGAAACCTGTGAATTAAATGCTGCGTTATTGCTAGATTGTTAAGAGTAGCATAGATATTAATCCTCGCATGCATACGTAAGGGTATATTTCACTCTCTGTATGATTCCATTACATGTAGCACTCGCCTTACTATACCACAGAATCTAATCACCAAAAAGAACGGTTAGGCCCAGCTTTAGCACCGAGTTTTGCCCAAGAACTCGTCCAGTATTTACAGTTTAATTTGTTGATTACGACCAAACATCGGTATATGCTTGGACGGACAGAGAACATCAGGAAACTTTCCTGTCTTTCTTTGTTATTGTGCCTCGCCAGAACTTTGTACACTTTAAGTAAGATAAAGTCGGTGAAGTTGCTTCATTCTGAGAGTTTTCCTCCTCTTACCGGAAAGCGACCCCTTTGTCGTATATTAACTTTTCAGTGATGACGTTTTTTGAGTCCAAGCAACCGTGAAGGCAGATACTAAACACCAGTGTACCGTGACCCTATAATGAAGCCCAGCTTTAGACATGAATTTGCGCTTGGGGGTTTCATATTATTAAATGGCTTTGACTAAGTAAGCACTGATTTCGTTAATATGTCTTAGCAGTTTTTAGAGAAGAACGTCGAGATAGCTTTGACGAGAGAGATGGGAATGAGGTAGGGTCATGGATAGGTTCTGCTGATTGCTTATATCCCTAAATTGGATGAATATTGTTATGGTGACGTAAGTAACACGACACAGGAGATGAGGAAAATATACTTTTGCGTGGACTAGCCTGAGGTGCTACCAATAGATCAATGGATTATGTCGGATTCTTTCTGTGGTATATCTAGAATACGCATTGGCCAGTTCAACAAACGTTGGACCAAAAGTACCTAAAATGGAGAAATGACCAATCGGGGCAGATGTAGGTGAACCACCACATAAATAACCTGAATTATCAACAAGTTCACTCAAGTTTGGTAGGAAGGTCATGGAGGTAATTTTATGAGAGAAGACTGTCGCCTAAAGCAATCTATGAAGATCTTGAACCGAGCTTCATTCCGTAGAAGGTGCATATGTTCTTTGCTTCTGATAGTCAGTGTGTGTCAGTGCGGGCATTAGGCTATCGTAGGTCAGTGGATCTGTCAGTTATGGTTGCTCAGGTACCATTATCAACTAGGTTGGTATCAAGAATCTTATATCAATCCAAAAAGATTTGTGATTGGTTTTTGTTTCGAAACTGTAATTTTGTTTGTACCTAAAATTTCACACTTTAGTTTTGTTTGCGCAGTGTTGTGTACTTACGCGCTTGGTCGACTGTGTAGTCTACTGAGTCGCGCAGCAAAGGGTTGTTGTGCGATTCGGCTTGATTATAAATGTTGCTGCGCCTGTTGTTTGAGGTAGGGGAAGTCAAGGTCTCTTCTGCCGCTGTAAAGACATCGAATGGCCGAAGTTCTGGTACTTGGGGGTACAGACAAAAACGCAGAATGGCTTTTTGTACAGTTGTGCAAACGAGCAGTGATGTAAGGTGTCGCATGACGTGAGACTGAGTGCCCGTTCCTAACTGTAATCTTATCTAATCTGAGGTGGATATCACACGACCAGTATTTACAGTGATCCGTTAGTATTTATCATTAAATGTGGTATTTATTGATATACACCTATAGAGTTAGTTGGCACTGTTGGTATGATGGTGGTACGAACAACCATAAAAATACTAATAACAATCGGTTGAGGTACAATGCCCAGCGGTATCAACACCCGGAAGCTTGTACTTACTAATTTGTATAGTATAACTAACTACATACATCCCAAATAATTATTTACGTATCTACAGTATATTCAGTTAAGAGATAGACCGGACATAAACAAGACCACGTGATCATCGAACGCTGTAACATTCGGCAGTGACGTATTAAGAGTCACGCAGTACATATTTTAGATAGTAGATGCTGCTTTGCGTAACTTTGTAGTAAATTAGCACAATTCGATGTGTATACGATTGGTGATGGATATAGGATCATGTGGGGGTGGGGTAAGAAATATATAATGATGTAAATATACATAAGGGTTTCATAATTTTCGCTTCGATTTCCAGCTTCGGATGCCGCCTGATGTTTGGTGAAATACAGTCGAATATAATCTCAAAATGGCGTTTAAATTAGTCTAAATTAAAAATAATCGTATATCTCTTAAAATTGCTTTTAGAATATTGATTAGTATATTTTTTGATTTCTAGGTAAATATGTAACCAAATTAAAACGTTCAAAACGTTGAACATTGTCAGAAAGTAGATTCTTGAATAGGTTTTGCCAAAATGGGTTAAAAAATATCAATAATTAATTAAAAAATACAGTAGCTTTATAATTACTTATAACTTACCGAATTTGATGAACGACATCTTTTATTGGAAAGATGAGCTTGATGAGCTTTGATCATCGCTACTGCCTGAAGCACCAACGTCAATAATGAATGGCTCGACTTGTTCCTCTAAAATATTGTCCAGTTCCCACATTCTCTTTTCAACTTTGTCTTTCACGTGCTTAATACAGTTTTCCCATTTTTGCGCTGTTATTAATTCTAGTGCTTCTCTGAAAAGTCCTTTGAGGTCACAAAATTTAAAAGTTGTATTGTGCTTAGCTATATAATTTTTAACCTCTGCCCATATGAGCTCAATGGGATTGAGCTCGCAATGGTATGGAGGTAAACGGAGCACAGTTTTATTTTGACTTGCTGCCATTTCGTCAATGGCGTATTTTGATATTCCGCCTTGTGATCCTTGACAATTCTTAATAATTGTACTTTCAACATTGCTCCTTCAAAGTTGATATTTTTCGAGCGGAGCCAATTTTGAACATCAACTTTCCTTGAAGCCGTTGTTGGGACCTTCTCCATTCTTCGAGAATGATAAGGCGCATTATCCAACACAATTACTGCGTTTTCCTCTAAGTTCGGTAAAATGTTTACTGGTCATTGGCTCAGAAAAGGTGTGATTTTTTTTGTATTGTCTTAACACATTAAACACTGATGCGCGACACACCCCAACTTTGTGAGAAACCTTCACAACAATTTCTTTGATGGTGATGCCTCGTTCTCCTCGCGGTCGATCTTATATATATTCAAAATGTCCTCTTTCATTTCTGCACTCAGGTGTCTTTTTTAGAGCGTTTCCTAGGTGGACTACAGGAGTTTACAACTTCATCGGCAGTATCTGTACTTCTGGGCATTTTGCGCAAGCAGTTGATAACAATAACAATCAATAACAAGGTATAACAATAACAACGACAAACTCAACAACTTAATAAGATAACAAACGAAAACGTCCAAAGAAATATCAAATTGCAATGATGCACATGACATACGTAACACGTCTGAACCTGAATGTGACTCTGCCTTGATACGACTGCTCTGCCGCTCGGCATAGGCATTTAATTGCGAATTGACCAATGCGGGCTCCTGTTTTACGTCGAGACGGCGGCGTTAGCGTGAAAATCACCCGAACCTTTTGTTTACATCCGGTTTATCTCTTATCTGAATATACTGTAGTGTGGAAACGGAGCGGTTATAGCCTGCTGCGTGAAATTGTGCTCTACAACGCCAAGGAAATAAAGGGTTATTGCATCCGAGGTGCATACAAAGTTTCAGCTACAAACAGCTAGAATAAGTAGCTCTCAAAAAGAATTAAAAGCAAAATTAAATTAAACTGAACGTACTATTGTATTGTATCTATCAGGAACGAATAAACAAGGACAGCTCCTGTAACGGACTCAAAAGTTAGTTTAACGCCCTAGGCATAGACGGGCTTGTGGGATGGAAAATAGGACCTAACATCATGATAAAGTACGGTTGTGGATAAAAATCTTTTGCCACATTACGCCTTAGGTCTAAGGGCCATATCGTCAGCCGTTCCTACAATTGCAGGACGCCTTTATGACCGCCTTGATTCTCAAAGTATTTTCATTCCTTCAGAAAGATTTCTACTGCTCTGTGACAGCGTCAGCGCTCTTCTATTCTGAGGCTATAAGTTTTATTTGAATTGTATTAAATTTCAGGCTGATATAACAGATGACAGAAACCAAAACCATGAACAATTTGATGCAAATAGATATTTGTAACATAACCTCAAAATAGAGCGCTGACACGGAACATTAGAAAACTATGGAATTGAAGGAGGCATCCTACAGATGTAGAAACGACTAAATTAAAGAATCAAATAACAGAAAAAATAGCAATTATAGAGATTTAGAAATGAAGGTCTTCTTTGATGCAGTGATTAAGCAGAGAACCTCAGCAAAACTTCCCTTTCTTTGCTATTGTGTCTTGCTCTGGAACTTTACACCCTGCAGTGAAATAAAGTCAGTGAAGTCGTTTATTCTCAGACTTTTTCTGCCTGCTGCAGCTCGCTTTTGTCTTACATCCACCTTCCAATAATTGTACAGGTTGGTTTCCTGGGAAAGGTAAGTACACAGGGTACATAGTCCAGTCCATGGGTATCAAATGTTGCGGATGCTAATAGTCCGACAATAGAGTACGGAGCAAAATAAGTATGTTTCGTTGTTGCCGTGAAGGTACAACAGAGGTTGTTTGTGCCTATAAGTAGATGAGTAAAGTGATGAATAATAGACCAAGGAGGCCACCGAGGAAATTTTATGTCCCAGTGAGAGCAGACTGACATAGACAATCCAAGGAGAACCGAGTCGCTGACTTACGTCATCAATATATCCCATAGTTGCTAATTGAACTGATCTCTTCGTAGACCTTTCGATTTTATCAGATGGCGGTTCAAAGTGATCGGGGGAAAATCTGAAAAGGTCCGAGGATTTTCAAGGAGACCCGATTCTCATTCTCCCTTTTCCTTAACAAATATTCATTCTATTACAGCTGACGAGAAATTTCAGTATGTTATCATTACTCAAATGGAAAAAATTCAAGACTTTAGACGAACTTGGGAGTCCGATAAATATATGCTTGAGGAGTGAATAACGTTTGTCCCAATCCGTTTTGTTTTTAATAGGTAAATCATGGCTATCGTTTTCCAAAAAGATCCGCGTAAATCCAGTTTTTGATCACTTTGCCAAGTGTTATCGTTCACATTTTATGGCATCAACTTCTAGCACCAATCTTACTGACAGAGTAAGTAAAGAGATTTCCAATCAGTTGAGCATGGTTGCTATTTACTATATTTAAATTATTTTTGGCTCCGGATGATGACAGCATAGTCTGTCGAAAGCTTGAGTATTTGCAAGTCAAAAGGATACACTTAGGATAGTTTGCCGATATCCCCAAAGACAAGTCTTCCACTTGACTAGTTATTCCGGCAATAACTATGAATCGCAAAAAATATAATATATATTACAATTTAACAGAACCACGAGATTTGATTCAGAATAAGCCTCATGTATCCGATCGTTGAATGTTTTCTAGCAGCTTACCATATATATATTTCAAACTCAAAATATGCTAGGTATAATCTAACGACTTCACATACATACTCTAATGGTGGATTTCACCAGTATTGTCAAATCAACAGTCCGTTATTCTCCACCTATAGGGTAACAGTCCGTCAAATACAGCGAATGAGCTTCAAGTTCCAATCAACAAATTTTAGCTACCAATAGCTATAAAATGTTGAAAACAAAATACTGTCAAAGTATGCGATGACAGCTTGTCATTGAAACATCACCAGCTTATTGAATATTAAGAAATTACATATAATTTAGTCGAGATTTAAAAAAGTTTTCGATTTTTGAATAAAATTTATGTTTTTATTTAATACTGTCGAATGTTCATATTATTTTCTTTAACTGATAAGCGACTTCACTGATTCAACATCACCTACCGTGTGCTTTTTCCTATAAACCTCTTGCAGATTTAGCACCTACTTGATGACAGGCTCTACCAAAAATTTCATAGATATTGCTCGTTTCCAAACTTTCATTCATTTACTTGCCGTTCGTCAGTACCATTAAAGCACCCTCGATTGGCATTCTCACAAAACCATTCAAGATTTTTGATATCCATAGATCCATAAAGTCAAATATTTTTGGTTGTTCAGGAACTGAACAACATCCACACTATATTTACAGCGATTAAGAAATACTCAAATATATGTCGTAAAGCTACCGGCAAACATAAAACCTGCAAAAAATAGAATTTGCCGTAACTTTTTTGTTTCAATGAGTACACATTATAGGTTATATTTAAATAAGATATTATTTGAGTGCTGGTTATTACTTTTCAAAACTCCTCAACGGGTGACACATGTGTGGGATCCGTCAACCCTTGGTCGCAGTAGAGTAAGCTCCGCCAACTGCTGTAATATACTCTACTATGCTTTATAAGACTATTCGTGAAATTTTCCCAAAATCGTTGAACAATACTTGAAAAGATGCAAAAGAAATTTAAAATTGTTTCCATCCGTCGGTACCTCGGGCTATACATCTTGACAGTAGGGATGTTCGATACGATCCATATGCTTCCCACACCCGACATTTTGGATCGATATTTTTATATACGACACTTGGGCGTATCGATACATTTCACGAGTATCGTCATCTTATGACCAGGACTGTGTCAGAAAGAGTGACTAACTGCAGATTACTTTTCTTTTTTGTTTCCTTCAGCTGGATATCGATGATTTTATTCCAATAGTTTAAAAGCAATATCCCAGACGTGTTATAATAATAGAAATAACAAGAAGATATAACAATGTTTGGAGGTATATTTGATTCGGAATTATAATATCTAGACGATGAATAATAGGTGGATGTGGATACTTTTAAAAATATCGATGTTTTAGGACCCAGTGATGCAGAATGTGCTGTTTATTTACATTTGGTATGGATTTCTAGATTATCAATCGGCAATAATTGTTTCTATCTGATGTAACAAAAGATGATGGACCAGTTCAAATACGTTTTGTATCCTTTTTTGCAAAATAACAAAATCGGTACATTTCTACAGGTACGTATTAAGTACGACACCCTGTACGTGATATACAGACAAAACTAGATTACCACTCATGAACAGTCGTCAAAAACAGTGAAAACATCCTAATAAATATAATAGCTAGAAAATCGACCTATTATTTCTCTCATTTTCATCGGTCCATTTAAATAACTGACCGTCTTTTGAGAAATGATAAAGATGTGGATTTCTATGAAACTTATCCTAATTCTAAAGCACAAAGACATAATATTACATCTATAATGTACGCTTATTTATAAGGCAACCATTTTTTCACGACTTTATTTAGCATTTCAACAGAAATCACTGATATTCAAAGAGCTTTGACAGCTTCCGTCAAATTGCATTTCGATAAGGTCTTTTCCTATCGTCCAACTGACCGTCAAATATTAATGTTGGTGAAATTGGTCCTAAAGCTACAAGTAATGCCAGCTTGTTCAAGTCTGTATTGACGCTACCCTGTCAAAACCACGCCAAGGGGTGGCTTAGATATCTTTGCATTATCATGCAATTACTAAATGGTCTATACGCGGACGTTGCTCCTAAATCAGCGTTTATGAGCACGTTAGACAACCACCAGATAGAGATAGAGCTGCGACAATGTAAATTAAGATACTGCTATGCTCTACGAATATAGCTCTGGGAAATGACGATAATGGCACGTCCTCAATAAATTGATATCGCTGCTGGTGTAGCAGGTAGTGCATTTGTCCGATTGTATGCTTTGGTAATTCAAGTGTACGTCACTCGTTCCAACATGATTATAGAGGAGATGATAGGGTTACACTTGTTTTGTTATGCCACGTCTTACCTTTCATGTAGATCGTTAATGACTGAACATGTATACGGTGCTTTTGTCTTAATACAGTAGTCACTATCAGAGCATACAAAGATCCTGTTTTCGGACTTGCCAAAGCCAGTCGAATACGGAGGAGTTGATGGTAGACTTGTTTGTCATGTCTTCAGGTATAAAGGCAAGCTGTGAAGGTATACAGAGGGCGCTTTGCCTTGTTATATATATATATATATATATATATATATGACTAAGTAGCTTTTGCCATAGTTTTTCAGATACAGGAATAACTTCCTGTATCACATCAGCGTGCTTTGTGGGTTGCAGGCTGTCGAGATAGCCAATAGAGTTGCTGATGTACCGAAGAAAATCTAGTGGAGTAATAGATTGCATTAATATTTAAACGTTGAAACCTGTGTTTTGTGAGAGAATTATCACTGAGTCAGCTGCCCACCATGTAAATATACTAAGTGACATATAAATCCGAGCACTTCGAGAGGAGTTGGTGGTTGCCTGGAATGAGATACCACAGGAGGACATTGCCACCTGATCAGAAGCATGCATAGGCGCACTGGAGAATGCGTAGCACATCAGGGTGCATCCACACATTATTAAAGGTCAAAGGGCTTTAAAGCAGTGCAATCATTTTGAAGGTATATATACTAAGTGACATATAAATCCGAACACCCAGTTTAAATGGTTTATTTTAATAAAATTTTGTATAAGTACTTAATGAAGCATAATAAGTAAATGATAAAATTTCAAAATGATTGCCTGCTTTAAAGCCCTTT